AAGCAAGGACGGCCTGGATCCAGCAGGCGATGGGTGTGTGCCCAAGCCTCTGCCAGCACTTCCTCTGAGACCTGTAGAGGGAACCTGCCCCCTCTAGTGTGTGGGGGCCACTCTCCTTAAGCTAATTTCTAACTATTTAATATTTTGGCAAAGTTTCAGTGATATGCGGAAGTATCTCGCCATGGATACAAAGCCAGATACATAATTGTATATTCTTAACAAAGCAATTATGTAGGAATAAACATTTGTATTTGACTTGCAGTTACGGCAAAGAAGTGTTTATCTTGACGTTGTATATGGTGGGTTAAAATTTTTTTTCTATCTTTTCTACATTTTCCAGATATGCTAAGTGAGCTTATTTTTTATAATATAAGAAGTAGATGTGCTTATTTAAAATAAATAACAATAGCCCTGTCTGGTGTGGCTCAGTTGGTTGGAGCATCATCCCTGCACCAAAGGGTCATGGGCTTAATTCCCAGTCAGGGCACTTACCCAGTTGTGGGTTAGGTCCTTGGTCAGACGGGAGGCAACTGATTGATTTTTCCCTCCCTCTCTCTCCTTTCTCCCCCTTCCTCTCTCTAAAATTAAAAAATAAAATAAATAACAATAATGAGAAAGGTGAGTTGTTTTGGTCATTGACTTTGTTCGCTCACGATTCCAGATTTCTAAGAACGTGGTTATTCAAAACAAACATTTCCTTTATATTATCAAACATATTTCTCTTAGTTATCCCTGTCCCTGTTTCTAGGGGATATCTGTTTTCTTTCACATTGCTATTTAAAAATCCCAACAATAACTACCTCAGTAAGCAAGTCTATGGACCATATAACTGAAATGCTCCATCAGTCAAAACAATAAATCAAAACATGTGGTTAGGGACACATCCCACAATCACCATCACTAACCTCACTTATCCAACGTTCTCTGGCTTCGTGCTGTTTTCCCTTTCAGTTATCACTACATCTATTATTCAGGCAAACTCCTTTCTAATATAATTTCATATCAAATAAAGAAATGTGTTCAGAGATTGTAACTCTAAGTAGGAACACAGGTCTGGTCTCTCATAACCCACATTCCCTGGATGCAATTAGCTTAACGTCTTTCTGAATGTGTTCTTAATATAGGCTTTTACCGTGGACCATTTTTCATGTGTCCTGGTTTTTCATCACTCAATTCTTGAATAAGACCACAGACATTAAAATGATAACATATCATGTTGAAATCAGGGTTAAGTTCAAGGGGAAAATCGCATGCTCTGTCTGCAGTTAGAATGAAGGAGCATGATTGCAGATCATGACTGCATCATTTTCACAATATTTGGATTTGTTTCTTGCTGTCACTTTTAGGTTAACGGAGTTACACTTTGCAAGTGAGTCGAAAGCATTCAGAAGTCATTGTGCACAGGGGTGGGGGCATCGAAGAGAGGCAAGTTTTCTCAGATCCAGGGCCTTGACAATTTGTGAAGATGGCAAACCAGATCATTCTTACAGAAAGATCTCAAAGTCCTCATTTAAAATGAAGAGAAACAGTCTTACTCAAAGTGACTAAGAATCAAAAAGCTATCTAAGAAAAAAAAAGCAAGCCCTACCTACTATCCATATGAGATGTTCAGGGTTTGTTATATTAATTATTAATAATATAGGGCTCTAGGTGTCCCATGATTAATTGAACTGCCTTTTTTAATGGAGATTCAGAAATTTCCCACTGTGTCTCCTGTGAGTCCAGCTTATTTTCCTTATACCTCATAACATCAATTCTCCCTCCATTTTACCCCACTGACTACTGCCTCTTTCTGTACCTTCAGTCTCTGAAACATCCTGACATAGGAAGGTCATTAATTGTCAGGGATCAGAATTTGCCTAATCTCACCAGCATACTCAAAAATCTGTCTTCACTCTAATAATAATTATTATTATAGTCACATTAACAACAAACACTCACTGAATGCTTTCTTTGTCTCGGGCATTTTTACTTGAATTATCTCATTTAACTCCTATAACCACCATATGAAGTAGGTATCTATTAGTAAACTCTCTGAGCCTCAGTGTTCCGATCTCTAAAATGGGGGTATACAAAATGATAAAGATCACACAGTGGATGAATACTAGGTCTAGGAATCACACCCCAAATTTCTTAACCTGAGTCCATGGTCTTTAACACTGCACTATGCTTGCCCTAGTCACCTTGCTATCAAAATCCCCAAGGTCAAGCGCATCCATTCAACCTATAGAATTTGACTACCTCTACTGTTTATCTTATTCCAAAGGACATATATGCATACATGTCACCTTTGATATGCAGATGGCCCCTGACTTGCAATGGCTCAACTTATAATCTTTTTGGCTTCACGATGGTGCTAAAGCCATACTCATTTAGTAGGAAGAGTACTTCGAATTTTGAATACGTATTGATCTTTTCCCAGGTTGGATATGCAGTTCAATGCTCTCTCATGATGCTGGGCAGTGGCAGCGAGCCATAGCTCTCAGGCAGGCATGCAGTCACAAATTAGACAACCTATACTCTACAGTGTACTGTGTTGCCAGCATATTTTTGGATATTGTGTTCTGAGCACGTTTAAGGCAGGCTAGGCCAAGCTATGATTTTCAGTAGTTTAGGTGTATTAAGTGCATTTTGCACACATATTTTCTACTTACAATGGGTTTAGTGGCAGGTAACTCTATCATAAGATGAGGAGCATCGCTATATAATGTTAGAGTTACAGAAGAGTTGCAAAAATAGTACAGATAGTTTCCATACACCCTTCATTCAACTTACCTAAAAAGGCCATGATTTTTTCACACTGTCTTCCATCTACAGGTCATTATTGTCAAATTCAAATAAACTAAACTGCAGCATCATAGGAATACAGCCCTGGGAACCATCTGATATTTTAATAGTGCCTCACATTGTATCTGTTATTTTTAATGATTCCCTCGATGCATATAGTACAGGCACAGACCTTATAAACCTGCGCATATTTACATAACAGATAGATCAAGGATATTTATTTTGTTGGGTCCTTGATGAATCTAATGAACTGTCCCTCTCCTTAAAAAATACAAACAATCCTATAGATTCCAGGTAGTCCAGGGTACCTCTCTGAATTCAAACTTAGCTGTTTTACTTTTTGGAAGCTAACAATTGCAGTCTCACCTACTAACTTTACTCACTATCTTTCCCTCAGTCTTCATGGAGCTTCTCCACATTACTAACCCTGGGGCGGTTACCAAAGAACTGGAGAGCCACTCCTCGAGAACATGGCTTTCAACCACTGAACTGTTCATGGTTTGGGGCTGAAGAAATGGCCATCTGCCAAAAAATACATGCAGCTGCCACCAGGACAATCTCGTCAGGCAGTAAGGACAGTGGGTCCACTTCACAGTGTCAAATCCATTACTTCAGGGATTTCCTGACAACACACCAGCCCAGTCGGCCCCGCAGCTACGTACTCACTGAAGGTCAATCCACTTATCCATGCAGACCTCACTGACTTCTCACAGATTAGTATTTATGACTCTAATATTCTGTCCAAGCTAAACATTCCAAGTTAAATATAGCTGGCTTCTTTCTTGATAAACTGAAAGTCTAAACTTCTCAAACCAACATTCTACTAGAGAATCGTCAGGTGGTTATTAATAAAATAACAACGCCTAAGAAAGACCTTAAAATAGAATCAGAGGACAGTTGATCATTGAGTTACTGAGAGCCAGAAAGTAGCCTTCCTCAGGTAACATAAGACATTTTTCAAATATTAATGCGTTAGAAATGTAAAAGGCCATTTCCAACAATACCCACAGTTAAAAAGGAATACAAAATTAGTCAATCCTCAGCATGGTATGATGGAAAGAACTCAGGCTTTGGAGTTAGACAAATAAACCTGAGTTTGGGCGTGCCACTTGCCTTAGTGATGTGACTTTGCTCAGCAAACCTTTTCTCTTCTCTAACATGAGGAAATAATGCACACAAAAAGCACTGTGACAAAGATGAATTGTGATAATGTGCATAAGGGACTTTGCAGCAAGGACTAATTCAATAAATCTTGGCTCTCTATTCCTTAGAATTCTTTCCAAGATTCCCAGGTTTTTAGAACAGCAAGAAGGTAAAAGATTCCACAATTTAAGACACACCAAATTTTGAAGCTCATCAAAATTTAGGGCATTTACTAGTAAGTGATGAAGGGTGAGAATCTCTGTATGCTTGTCAAGTAGTCAAGAGCCAACAAAGAACATTTAAAACTTAATTGGGCTCAATAATAAAATGATATACCTAAATCTAAACATATCATCACATATATGTGAAATATAAGTAGTCTAATCACACTCTTTAAAAGACAGATAGTGTCAGCAAAAATGTTAAGAATAAGATCCAACGATATGTTTCTACAGGACACCCCCTTTAAATATAAGGCTATAGGTGGTGTATAGTAAAAGAATAGGAAAGGATGTACCATGAAATATTAATCAAAAAAAAGCTGAAGTGACTATGAATATCAGAAGTGTGGACTTCAGAATAAAAGAAATTACCAGAAATAAAGAAAAACATTATATAATGATAGAAATGGTCAGTTGACCAAGAGACATAACAATCCTAAGTGTGGAGTCACCTAAAAGCAGAGCTTCAAAGTATGTGAAGCAAAAACTAACAGAATAAAAAGGAGACATAGAGAAATCCACAATTATAGTTGAATAAGAGTTCAACATTCTCCTTCAGTAAGAGAATAGCATGAGTAGACAAAACAAAAAAACAGCCAGGGTATAGAAGAATGAAACAACACCATCAACCAACTTGCTTTAAGTCACTGTTGTCAAGGGTCCCATTACCAATATGAGGATGAAACTATATCTAAAGAACCCTAGTGGTAGAGAAATTTCATCAGACAAAATCCTGGACAGGTTGCTAAGGGATGGACAACACATGCCTGAAGTCCAGGATGAGCCTGAGTGGTGATGAAAGCAATGAGCCCCCTCTGGGCTTCTGTCTTCTTACCTGTGTAACAGGCAGCTGGTGTGCAGAACAGTGATGTGGAGTGGTCACAAGACTGAAGACAGACAGTTTGGGTTAAAATCATCAGAGCTGCAAATGCCTTGACTTCTCTGTGCCTCTCTGTGCAGCATCCCCTCATCCATATGGAAAATGATCCTCCAAAGCACCTCCTCTATAGACCTGGTGGGAGAATCATGATACTCTAGGTATTACACCTAAAGCAGTACCTGGCACATGGTAAACACATAACAAATGTCAATCATTATTAAAACCACTAGAGGCCTGGTGCACGAATCCGTGCACGGGTGGGGTCCCTAGGCCTGGCCGGCAATCAGGGCCAGCCAGGGGGAGAGACTGCTGGAGGTTGGCTGGTTGCAGGAGGTTGGCTGTAGGAGCACACTGACCACCAGGGGGCAGCTCCTGCATTGAGCTGGTCAGTGTGCAATATAGAAACTGGTTGACTGGTCATTCTGGTTGTTCGGTCATAACGGTCACTTAGGCTTTTATATAGATAGATAGATAGATAGATAGATAGATAGATAGATAGATAGATAGATAGATAGATTATTCTTTCTAAAATCACTGAGATAGAGCTGTATTTCTCAACCTTTTTACGATTATCTCCTTGAGAAGCTTCTTTTTGACATTTTTTTTCCTAATCGCAGCCCCATCCCTGAAATTTTAATACTATAGATATACTGCACATCTGTGTTTGTGCTAAGGCCCTTTTGAAAAGCCACAAACCACTGTAATACTTAAGAACCAATTTTCATACTCTTGGGAGAAATATCACCCCTGTTGAAAATAAGCATGATAAAGAAATTAATCTCCAAGATTCTATAATTCTAAATCTGCATAGATCAGCCCTAGCCGGTTTGGCTCAGTGGATAGAACATCAGCCTACAGACCAGAAGGTCCCGGGTTTGATTCCAGTCAAGGGCAGGCTCCTCCCGGCCCAGGCCCTGGTCAGGGAGTGTGCAGGAGGCAGCCAATTGATATTTCTCTCACATTGCTGTTTCTCTCTGTCTTTCCCTCTCTCTTCTACTCTCTCTAAAAAAATCAATGGAAAAATATCCTTGGGTGAGGATTATAAACAAATAAATAAATCTACATAGATCATATTATAAGACCTTTAAAGTTATGCACTTATGTTACCTTAAAAATGAATTAAAGTTGCCAATGGAATTGTTAAATTATGCTATGAAGCATTTGGGAGAATAACGGGTTAAGTCTAAGGATTTGGGAAAAGACTCCCTAACTAGCGCAGGCAGGCATCTGGCCAGAGACTCGGTCCCATTAGATAAATATCATTACATCCCAGAAATATATTTATGTCCAAGTTACTGATATACACTCTGAGTTGGAAGATTTATGAGATTAGGAAAAAATGTTTTAGTCATGAAGAATATGAAAAAGTGAAATATCTTTCCTCTAGTCATGTAAGGGGGCAGATTGAAATGTTCTCCTAATTTCTCTTGACATGCAGCCCATCTCTCATTAGCCTAGAAGGGTGCCTGTAACTGCAGCACCTGTCAAATGCTCATTTCCAATGATCAACGATCACATTTAAAGGACAGCCCAACCCCATCTTGTCTTTAAAGTGGAGCGAGAAGTCTAACACTAAATGGTATTCAGGCGCCACGAAGGCATGTCTTTTCTCAGCCCCTAAATCACACACTGATGGCAAAATAAGAATAAAGCAGCTCTTTTGAATACTGCAGCCTTTCATTCTTTATTGGTCTTAGAGATATGCAGCCCGATCTTGGTAAGTTATCAGAATATCATTTATCCTTCACATTGGCTTCTATTTTTTCCTTGAACTTCTCATGCTTTCTTCTTCCATTGTGTTCATAATGAGTTATTTCACACTGATTCCCTCTGTGATGCCATCCAGTTAAAAATTATTCAAGTCAGAAAGAACGAATATAGTGGTGTCAGAGATGAAAGCTTTCCAGTTTCCCAAACAGAGTGTCTTCTGAGACGATCACATTCGAGTTCAGATTCTCCCACTAAGAAATTTACATGACCAGTTAATCATGATCTATGGGGCTGACTCAATTTAGTCAAACTCATAAGTGGTTGATATACATTTTTTTATTTGTTTTTGTTTTGTTTTCATTTACTCTGAAAAAGACAACCTGTCTAGTAACTAAAAAGTAGACCACACCTACACAACTAGCAAACACACGGAGACAAATTAGTAATCAGATTGTTAGATCAGGATGGAATCTCCAAAAAGAGGGAGCTATGGGTGGGAAGCAGTGATCCGGAATAGCAAAAACAAATAGCTGGCATGTGTTCCATATTACCCTCCCTGCACCAGTGGCAGACACTGTTGGTAAATCATTGCATGCTTTTGATAATAGCCTGTGATGCAGTCTCTATAGCCATCCACACAGTACTCTAGGCAGCCCCAACTAGTCAATCAGAGTTTTTCTATGAGATGAAATCTTACATGCCATTTCTGAACTAGAGAATTGATTAGTCTAAGCCATGGATCTCCTTTTTCTGCCCATAAAACAGAATTCTCCACCATTTATCTGAATTTATATTTATAGAAGGTTTAGTAACCTCTCACTGCTGGGTCTAGAAAAGTATTGCCAAATTCTACTTTTGTTGTGGTGGAGCATATCTGACAGATAAAATTAGAGAAATGTATAGAGAACACTTCTGAACTTCAAGAAAAAGTCTCCAGAGATGAGACCTATATTTGTAGAAATCCCCATGGATATTTGATGCTTCTTAAAAGCACTGCTGGCCATCCAGCAAAAGAAATTACCCAACCCATAAGATTCAATTATCCTGTCTCTGGCATTAGAGATAATGCTGACTACACAGCCTTGTTGGTGAGGATGGATATTCAGGACCTTTCAGTATGGTGCTCAAAACTTCTCCTCCCAAGAAATTGGATGTGTTATGTTGGGCAATCAATAGAGTTGTTCAGTTCACTCTTTTGAGCATGGTAGAAAGACACTGAACTGACATTCGCCCAGTCCCCTTAAGTTAAGTGTGGCTGAATGATTTAATTGGCCAATCCTATGGTTGCTGAAGAGACATGCAAAGCTCTGAGACAGGCTGTGATTCATCACATCCGCTATCCCTCTGCCAAGTGTCTTCATCCTTCTGCATGGAAGGTGCAGCATTGGCTTTGGGCTTACAGCACATGGGATAGAGCCCCCAACCCACCCATGGGTACCATGGTGATTGTTAATCTTATGTGTCAACTTGACTGGCCAAGGGATGCCAGACAAAACATTATCGCTGGATGTGTCTTTGAAAGTGGGATTGGTAAAACAGATCACCCTCGCCAATGTGGGAGAGCATCATCCAATTCACTGAAGGCCCAAATGGAACAAGAGGAGGAGGAGAAATTTGCCCCTAGTTTTACTGCCTGTAAGAGCTGGGACATCTCACCTCATCTTCTCCTGCCCTCAGACTGGGATTTACACCATAGCCTCCCCTGGTGCTCAGGCCTTCAGAGTCAGACTGCATTACATCACCAGCTTTCCTAACCCTCCATAATTGTGTGAGCCAATTCCTCATTATAAATAAGTATAAGTATACATATACATATCGTATACATATACATATATAGGGTGTCCCAAAATTCACGCAAGAAGTAATTTTGATAGAAAACACAGGTTTATAATTAAAAATTGTAAATTTTTTATTGATTCATAAAATATATAGTATAGGGTTATGTATGGAATAGCACATTGGGTAAATGGCCTCCATGGCTTTGCTGGCACATACACAAAGCCGTGCTCTTCATTGGTTTTCATTGTCCCTGCTCTTGGGCCATAATTGGTACTTGGTAATGCTTATCAAATTGAAGGGATTGAAATCAAAGGGCAACAGATATTAGAATCTGATTCAATAAAACAAGTAAGATTAGGCTTTTATTTTTTGTTGTTGTTGTTGTTAATGCTTGCGCAAAATTCAAATCTTGCGTGAATTTTGGGACACCCTATACATATACATAAATACATAAACACAATTGGTTCTGCTTCTTTGGAGAACCCTGACTAATACAGGCATGTAGAGTGAGCAAGAAATGACCCTTTGTTCTTTAAAGCTATAAGGGATTGTTTGTTCCTTCAGTATAACCCGGCCTATTCTAACTGATGCCTCATGCAAGGAAAACTTTTTGCAATCCTTGAGGAGTCTTTCTGGGAAATCACAATAGAAAAAATTTGGTCTCATCAAGGTCCCTTCAGTTTTGGCAAACTTTAAACATCTAAATAGATAGAAATAAGTTCTCTTGATACTGTGGGATTTTTTTTTTTTTTTTTAGATGGGAGCTCTAAAGAGGAGCAAAGAGCAGGTTTGAACACAATAGGGAGGAGAGGGCGAAGGAAATGCAGGCGAAATGCACATGGGAACAATTCTTGGGGCCTCATGCAAGCTTGTGCTAATCCCTGACTTTTGATGTCTCCAGAACGACTGGGCAGGGGCCCAAGCCAATCTCTATTGGAATGAGATACACTGAACCACAGTGTGTGTTGGGCTCCAGATACCATTGAAAGCAAGATGCGAACAGGAATGGTTAAATGTTACCAACTATCATTTTCCAGGCAAACATTTAATTTTTGTTGTTTATCTGTCTTTTCCACAATAGGAAAAATATTCAAATAACTGATTTAAGGAGGGCTTGATGCTAGAAAGGCAGTATTTTTTTTCCTATCTAGCTTTCGCAATATATAGTACTTTTAGGCTACGAAATATTTTTTCAACAACACGATTACAAATTTTAAGAAGTGCCATCCAAAAACTATAAACTACAAATCCAACTTCTAAAAGTTCACGCAAGTTCACACATGTCAAAAAATAAAAATTTTTTATATAATAGAAAACATGTTTTCCTGAGTATAGTATGCTGCTGATATTTTTAATAATTTTATAGATAATTAATTCCCAATTAAATACACTGAAGGCCTTTTCTTACTGCTTTTATTATTTTCTTGTCAGAGATATGTTTTAGAAGAAGAGTGGAAAGTGGAAATAACAATTCACATAAAAAAATTATCCTTTTACAGAAAAATTTCATCAAAACTACATATTCAGTTGTGGTTTTATAAAATTATAAAGTCATAGGAATATATTTCATAACTGTATGTTGCACTTAAAATATGTACTTTTATGGAATGTTCCAAAGGAGACATTTAATTATAGGATAGAAA